TCTTTCAAATACATGTAAAAAGCAATGTATATGTAGCTATCAAGATAATGAATAAAAGATCCAATAAGAAGCAGTTTAGAGACTTTTTATAGCAAGTGTTGAAACTAAGTAGACTCGTAATTGGAAAACTGGCATTCCACACCAGTAATAAGCACATCACAAACATTTTAGAGTAATTTTTTAATCAAAGCAAGTTTTTTCTAAGAATACAGACATTTTGTGCCAACAAGAAGCACATCATAGACATTTCAAAGCAATTTATGAAATTGAGCAAATTTTAAATAAAATACGAACATTTTTCACCAATAACAAACACTACACAGACATTTCGTCATAAACATGAAAAATTCCCAATTACCACAAGTTTTTAACAAAAAATCAGCCATTGAAAAGATTAAAAAAAGAATTAAATGGCTGAACAAGTTTGAGAAACAATGATTCACAAAAAAACATTTAAAAAAGACTAATTTCANCACAAAAAACATGACACATGTGGATTGAATATAGAATCAAACCATCTTTTAATTATAATTAAAAGCCAAATTTAGATCTATTTTTGAGAATATTCAAATTCAATCCAAATTCTAACATAGCCGTATATAACTAAGTCATAACTTAATTTAAATATGTCCAAACAGTAACGATGCACACAATGATACTGAAACCAACAGTATAAATAAAATCGAGCCTAAACTACAATGGAATTGTTGAAGAACAACATGGATTTGAAGCTTATGTCAAAAACTAACCGCTGGAAACTAGAATTGATTTGATTTGGTGCTGAATTTGCCGTTCAATCGCCAAAGGAATTCGTTGTACTCCGTCTAGCTCGCTGCATCGCTTCCAGAAACCAAAGTCGGCCGCTGCTCCTCTTTAATATCGTGGTTGCCCTTCCTTAGCACTATCGGAGAGTTGGCCGGTTGCTAGGGTTCAAGATCCAAGTCTGAGCGTTGTCTCGTGGCCGTGAAACTGCACCCCCAACCGCCCTCCCGCATTGCCCTGATAAAAAAAAGGACCCAGTTTGTTCCTCATATTATTTCGTCCTTCGTATTTGTGTACTCCGTAGTATTTTTGTTGATGGGTCTCAAATTGGGCTTAAGTTTGGGTTTAAATAATTAGATATATGCATATAGTAGCAATATTAAACAATTGCCACAATAAGTCTAATATTTTGTGGCAAATTTTTAATTGCCACAAATAATTGAGGACTATTTATATATTGTGGCAAACATTTATTTTGCTACTAAAACTTAGCCACAAAAAGTCATATTTTTTGTAGTGT